TTGTTTTATCTAAAATTATCAATACTTTTGTGAGCGCATGCAAAAACCATGCTAAAAGATAATTATATTCTATCTATTTTACTTAAAAGTGACGCTATTGAAAAAAGTAATTATGTTTTGGCATTTTTTAAAAAAAGTCTCTGTAATTAATTGTTTTTCGTATTAAATGAGTGTTTTTTGTAATAAATAAAAAACTAAAGATCGCGGAATTATTTAGAAAAAATGCGTTTGTTTTAAAAAATCTTAAGGTGGTATACCCCTCAGAAATATCAAATTTTGAAAAAAAAATTTTGTTTACTTTTATTTAAAATTTATTATAGAATCATATTTTAAAAACCATTTTTTAAAATTCAGTATATAACTTGAGGAAAACAAACTTTAATGAACATTTTTAAGCGCTCTTGACAACCCCCATAGCAACGCATTAACAATTTTATTTGGCCCTCAAACATAATTTTTAAAGCTTCTTGAAATGAGTTTATAATTAATTTCTATTTTCCATTGATCAAAACATCTGTAAGATTAAAAGCAATAACTGGATTTCTCATAAATTTGTTCCAAAAGTTTCTTTAAAACGAATTGTCATCTTAAAGTTATATAAATCTATGCATCTGGTTATGTTTATATAAATTGAAACGTATACTTTTAATGGGTAGAGAACGAGTGAAATGCGCTACTCAATACAAAAAGAAAAAAAGATTTCATGAAAATCAATATACTTTAAATAAAACAAATTCAGCAAATACAAGTCTTCTACCTTCTACAGATTCACAGAGCTCAATAAATATATCTTATTCCAAGGTAAACCATATTAATACTGCTGCAAGTTCTAATAAAAAAAACATATGTGGATACAGAATAATTGATAGCACTTTATTAGCCTTTGTTATTCAGTTGTTATGTTGTCCAGAATGTAAAACTTGTCGACTTAATTTATCTGAAAACGCAAAAAAAAAAAATTTGGACTTTCCAGCTTATTGATTATATTCTGTAAATGTGGATTCAATCATGAATTTTTTACATCCAAAAAGTGTGGTTCTAAAAGAAGTAGAGCTTTTGATATCAACCAAAGGTCAGTTTATGCTATGCGTTCATGTGGGCAAGGCCATACTGGCCTTAAAAGATTCTGTTATCTTATGGATCTTCCACCGCCAATGACTAAAAATACTTACATTAAAATTGTTCAAAAAATTGCTATTCAAGTTGAAGCAATCGCAGTAGAAACCATGTCTGATGCTGCACTTGAAATTATTTTCTTTTGGATTGTGAAGTATTATCCAAATATTGCAAACAATGTTTTTTAATTACAAAGAAAAAAAATACAGACCCTGATGCATATAAAATCCTACAAAATACTCATTTTTGTAACCTCAACTATACTGGCCCATCCACCGGTATGGAGGTCGCTGGAGCAAAATCAATTTTTGAACGATCTATTGAAAAGTATAAACTTCGCTATACTGAATTTTGTGGTGACGGAGTTAGTAAGGCATTTTCATCTGTTGAAAGAGTATATGGTGATACACTAGTTTCAAAATTAGAATGTGTTGGTCATGTGCAAAAAAGAGTTGGCACACGATTAAGAAAATTGAAAAAAGAAAGTCGTCTAGGTGGTAAAGGAAGACTTACTGATGCTACAATTGACAGATTGCAAAACTTTTATGGAATTACAGTTAGAACCAAAAATCAGTCTGTTAATGAAATGCGCAGTGCAATACTTGCTTCATTGTTTCATGTTGCTTCCTCAAAAGAAAATAACTATCACATCTATTGTCCAAACGATGAAAAAAGTTGGTGCCAGCACAATGTTGATCGAAAACATGCCAATCAACCATCTCTCTATAAACCTAGCCCTGGTTTGTGATATTATTGAGTTACTAAAGCCAATTTATAAAGAACTTAGCTCTAATGAATTGCTTGCAAAATGTATGCATGGAAAAACTCAGAACCAAAATGAGAGCCTTAACATGATGATATGGGAACGAGTTCCAAAAACTAAATTCTGTTCATTGTTACATTTGAAATTTGAAACATATGATGCTATTGCAAACTTAAATATTGGAAGAAAAGCATCAGTGATGACTTATGAAAATCTCAATATGATTCCAGGAACATTTACGATAGATGGCTGCAATAGAGAAAATAAAATGCGTTTGTATCAATCGTCATACAAAAATAAATCTGATGTAAAGTTACGGAGAAAAACAATCAGAGGCAGTAAAAAGAACAAAAATGATAGGGAAAATCAAAAACAAGGCACTCTTTATGCTGCTGGTAGCTTTTAAACAATTTGCTCTAAAATTTACAAACATTGTTTATTTTTCTAATATTTATTTGGATATTTTTCTCTTTTTTAATTTTTAAAGTCTTTATTTGCTAACTTCTATTTTTCAATCTCCCGTCATAGTTATTTCATTTTCTAGTAATCAGTTTTTAACCAAATTTTCAGCAGTGATGTGATTTTATATGATGTATGCAATCTGCCAAAAGTTAATTATAAAGCATTTCAGATTTTGCTGTTTCAGCACTAAAAAATTGCTTATTTAAAAATCTTCATAATCTATGTAGTGCTACATGGAAACTAATAGTCAGATTTATAAACTTTTGGCAGATTGCATAGATCAAGCTGTTTTTTATAATTGGGCCAAGTTTTACTTTGAATACTCGATTAGATTTTGAGATATTTTTGACAGTGCGATGTGCATATTTTCTTATATCCGCCATTATAGGTGGTTGTCATGACAACATAACCACCTGTTATTTTATAAATCAATTTCGTTTAATAAGATCTTTCATAGGCTTAATTTTTATTTTGACTATAATATTTCAATTCCAAGATAATTTTGAAGGGGGTATACCACCTTAATCAAAAATGGTTTGATATTTTATTAATCACGGAAGATTTTATATAAATTACATATATTTCGCAATAGAAATGTTTGGTCGCATACATTGGGTTTACCGGTTTTTACCTCCATTCAAAACAATCATGACAACCATTTAAAACAACCATGACATTCATTTAAAACGCCGCGACAATCAATTAAAACAATGTGATTTTCAACTAAAACAATCGTGACTTTCAATTAAAACATTTAACGCATGCACAATCTTAACATTCTATATTATTTTTAAAAAAAGGTTTTATTTATATACTTATTTATTTAAATTTATTTTTTATTGATATCATATTAATTTATTTTATTTAATGCAATTTAATATTAAACGGATGACATATTTAAATGGATGCAAAACCCGGTAAACGTGTGTACGCCTTACTTAGAAAATACACTGAGAGGTTTGATGTTGAGAGATATCTATTCTATATAGAGGAATGGCGTCACAGCAAAACATACGAGTAACGAGATATTAAAGAAAAAGAAGTAAAATTGTCCAAACGGATATTCGAACCACGGCTTTTCGAGTATGAAGAGAACGCCTTACCCAAAGTACCTTAACGCTCAGTTACTGACTCAGACAAAATAAATATTATATAATAAAAAGGTGTTAAAAAGGATTATTCATGGATGTTTTAAATGAACGTTATGGTTGTTTTACCAATAAGATAAGGCCATGTAAAAATGTGTACCTAAACGGCATGGAAAAATTGAAGCTTAATAAATATGTATACATGTGTGTACGCCTTACCGGGCTTTTCATCCATTTAAAACAAGTATGGCATCCATTTAATACTAAATTAAATAATTCAAATTAAAATAAATTAATATGATATTATTAAAAAATTAATTTAAATAAATAAGTATATAAATAAAACCTTTTTTTTTTAAATAAATTAGAATGTTGAGGTTGCGCATGCGTTAAATGTTTTAATTGAAAGTCACGATTGTTTGAATTAAAAATCACATTGTTTTAATTGATTGTCGTGGTATTTTAAATGAATGTCATGGTTGTTTTAAATGGTTGTCATGATTGTTTTAAATGGAGGTAAAAACCGGTAAATCGTAAAAACAATCAAATTTTTGCGATGTTTTTACATACATTGAAAAACGTTGATTTATATTTTCATTTAATCAACGTCGAAATATATAAATTGGATTAACATTGAGTTTAGATTGTAGAAATAATAAAGTTTTTGCGATGTTTTTACGTATTGGACCAATGTAAATTTGCCAGTTCCGTCGGTAATAGTTTTATCATTAACCAAATGACATTAGATCATCTTTAATTTTGTATATATACATATATATATATATACATATATATATATATATATATATATATATATATATATATATATATATATATATATATATATATATATATATATATATATATATATATATATATATATATATATATATATATATATATATATATAGAGAGAGAGAGAGAGAGAGAGAGAGAGAGAGAGAGAGAGAGAGAAAGAGAGAGAGAGAGAGCCGTGGCTAGGCAACCTCAAACCTCCCAATTGAGGGGGGAAGGCAGTATTTTTAGGGGCCCTATTTAAAAGTTAAAATATTTTTTAACTTTAAAAGGGTTTAAGTGAAGTAAAAAGATTTGCATTTTAACCATTATATTAACTAAGTTATGCATGCTAAAAAGTAAAAAAAGCAAAAGTCATTTTAACGCGAAAACAATTTACACTCCCGAGTTCTTTTGTTTTGTTAGAAGTTTATTGAGAAACCACTATAGCGGTTTGTCTGATGTTATTTAGCGGTTTGTTTGATGTTACTAGCGCGCTAATGAGAAACCATTAAACAGCGTTTCGTGGGGAAATATATTTCAAAGTGTGTCGCTTATTTTATGATTACAAGCAAATTTATTATTTTTAATTAGGTTATTTATTGATTCACTATAATTTGCTGGTAATTCAACTGTTTACCAATTTACCACGTTAAAGTTTATTTTATTACTATTGTTTCTATTACTTATGTTTTATGCCTAGCAAAAAATATAATTATCTTTCATTCTTAGTTTTTTACAATATTTTGGAATTATTGGAATGAAAAAAGTGAAAAGTGGTGCCACTAAAAAAAGAGAAAAAGCTGCAGCCATGGAGAAAATCATGAAATACCCCAAGCTAACACATTTTTTAAAACCAGCAGTTCCGGCTAGCAGTGTTTTGATATCAACAAATAGTTTTGATTGTGATTATTTGGGTACTAGACTAGAGTCAAATGGGTTAATCTATGACTCAAATGCAAAGTCAAATGTAAGTCATGGTTTAATCTGTGAATCAAATGCCACAACAAATCCACTAATATTTCTCAGTGATGATCCTTCTGATTGGCCTGATAATGTTTCTGACGCTCAGAAGTGTGATGTTGTTAAACGAGGTTTAAAAAAGATTGAAATCGACTTTCCAAAAAATTCAGAAAGAAGACGATTTTCCATGAGTTATTATAACCGCAAAATGAAAAATGGAGAAATCTTTGAAAGATCATGGCTTATATATTCTTTAAATAGTGATAAAGTGTTTTGTTTCTGTTGCAAACTTTTTGGGATAACTTCTTCACAATTTCGAAAAGGAATAAACACGTGGGAAGGCTTATCAAAAAAACTTAAAGAACACGAAACATGCAGTGCACATTTAAAATGCTTTGAACATTGGATGACATTACGAAAAGGTAACTGATATTTCATTTAACTTGTTTTGTTACTTTTTTTATTGTTAAAATATAATTTTTTTTTCAATTTTGACAATGCAGGCATAGCAAATCAAGCTACCATAGACGAGCAACAACAAAAGTTGCTTTATAAAGAGCGGGTATTTTGGAGATCTGTGTTGGAAAGGATACTGGACATTACGTTATTTCTTTCAGCAAAAAATCTTGCATTCCGTGGTTCAGACACGGCAATTGGTTCAAAGAGCAATGGAAATTTTCTTGGGGTGTTTGAATTACTGGCTAAGTACGATGCCGTCCTCAAGGAGCTTCTGTTAAGAATTCAGGACAAAAAAACAAACGCTCACTATTTGAGCAATGACACACAGAACGAGTTGATTAGATGTTTAGCGCAGGAGATTGAGTCAGAAAATCTTTCTATGGTAAAAAAAGCAAAATAATATTCGGTTATTTTAGATTGCATGCCAGACGTTTTGCACAAAGAACAAATGAGCATAATTTTAAGATCAGTGACATGTACTTCTAGAGTAGGTATTAACATTTCCGAAAATTTCTTTGGATATCTCACAGTAAATGATACCACTGGAAAAGGGCTTTTGGATGCCTTTTTAAATTAGGCAAAAAAATGGGATCTAAATATTCTTGATTGTCGAGGCCAATCTTATGATAATGGTGCTAACATGAAAGGAAAACTTAAAGGTGTTCAAGCCAGGCTTCTAGAAATGAACCTAAAGGCTATATATGTTCCATGTGCAAATCATTCACTTAATCTTTTTATTGTTGATGGTGCACTGTCATTTATCAGTGCAATATCTTTTTTTGGAGTTCTTACAAGATTGTATAACCTCTTTTCATCGTCTCCTCCTCGATGGGAAATTTTAAAATCGTGTGTGGAAATTTCTGTCAAACCACAATCAGATACAAGATGAGAAAGTAAAATAAACTGTGTTAAACCACTTCGCTATTATCTGAAAGAAATTTTAGAGGCACTCGACAGATTAAAAAAACATGCCTTTGAAAAGAAAGATGGGGCAACAGCCACAGAAGTACGATCTCTGATTGAATATATTAGGACATGGGCTTTGTTATTATCAATCATTATTTGGTATGACGTTTTATTTCAAATCAACAAATCAAGTAAGCTTCTTCAGTCTTATACAACCTCTCTTGACATATTGGCTAGTGAAATAAAAGCAACAAATACATTTCTTTATGAGTATCGTGAGACTAAATTTACTGACGCACATATTAAAGCACAAGAAATTGCAGAAGAAGTGGGCATTGAAAAGGTTTTTCCAACAGTGCGCTTACGAAAAAAAAAAATGTATTCATACGAGTGTGCTGATGAAACTCGGCAACCTGAGCATCAGTATAAAGCAGATTTCTTTTTGCCACTCATTTACATGTCAATTGCATCAGTAAAGGAGCGTTTTGAACAGGTGAGTATCTTCACAAATCTTTTTGACTTTCTTTACCGGTCTGAGAGTCTTATCAAAGCCTGTAATGAAAATTCTCTTACTGTATTTTGCACAAATTTGCAAACGAAGCTCGGTGATATAGATTCTGAGGATTTGGAAATAGAGTTGAAACGATTTGTCATAGTTGTACATGAGGACAAAAATACAAACCTGAAATCTGCATATGCCTTCCTTAACTACGTCTACAAAGAAGAGCTGCAGGAAACTTATCCTAATCTAGTTATTTCGTTACGCATCATTCTTACTTCTCCAGTAAATGTTGCAAGTGCAGAACGTAGCTTTAGCATGTTAAAATTATCTAAAACTTTTCATAGGTCAGTATAAATACTCTTACTTCCTTATACGTTAACATATATAACTATATTTCTTTGTATCTTTATGTAGGTCAACAATGGTCGATGAACGTTTGTCTTCCCTAGCAATGCTGTCAATCGAGAACGAAGTGGTAAGGAAATTAAGTTATGAAGGCTTAATAAATAAGTTTGCAAGTATGAAAACACGACGCAAACCTTTTTTTGACCTGTGAATGCCTAATACATTCACAGTAGTCAAAGAAACGTTTTGTTTTAAACTCTTAATAAATATAACAATTATAAAATATACTTAATTAAATTAAAGGGTTAATTTTATTGTTTTTTTTCTCGTGAACGATTATTTAAAAATATGTTCGGTGCATTATAAAAGATACGCCTCGGGCTTTTTGAAAAAAAAAAGTGTCAATTTAAACGCATTTAAAAAAACTTTGGGGCCCTAATGGAATGTTTGGGGGGGGGCCCTAAAGCCACTAGCCACGGCACTGTGTATATATATATATATATATATATATATATATATATATATATATATATATATATATATATATATATATATATATATGTATATATATATATATATATATATATATATATATATATATATATATATATATATGTATATATATATATATATATATATATATATATATATATATATATATATATATATATATACATATATATATATATATATATATATATATACATATATATATATATATATATATATATATATATATATATATATATATATATATATATATATATATATATATATATATATGTATATATATATATATATATATATATATATATATATACATATATATATATGTATATATATATGTATATATATATATATATATATATATATATATATATATATATATATATATATATATATATATATATATATATGTATATATATATATATATATATATATATATATATATATATATATATATATATATATATATATATATATATATATACATATATATATATATGTATATATATATATATATATATATAAATATATATATATATATATATATATATATATATATATACATATATATATATATATATATGTATATATATACATATATATATATATATGTATATATATATATATATATATATATATATATATATATATATATATATATATATATATACATATATATATATTGAAACAGTAAAACGTTTCTCATTTTTTCTTTTTCATTAATTGCAAATATATTTACGTTTTTTTTTTTTATTTTAATATAGCTTTTATATATGACGTTCTAAAACTAATAACAAGTATTTAATATAAACTTTTATTGTGGATGTCTTACAACTTAATGACTTTTTGGAAATTAAATTTAAAAGCAAAGTTTCTTTACTTTGCTTTTGAATTTAATTGTTTTTATTTGGTTTTCTAAAACATGCTTAATGATTGAAAGACTATTTTATGAAAAAAATTATTTCTTTAAATACTATTGTTGGTGACAATATTGGTTATGATGCAAGAAAATTGAGGGTGTCATTAGCGAAATTAAAACAAGCCAAAATAAATTGTTTTTGCAAGATTCTGTTTGTATATTAACATTGTTAAAAACATTACTCTTTTTATTTTTTTGTAATGTTTTGAGTCATTACTGGGATTTAATTATACATGAAGTGACCTTATTGTTATCCTAATAAGAGTTGACACTCTTGCTTAATCCCAAAAATACGTGAATATAAAGTTTAGGTTTCATGGGGGGAAAATAAAATTTAGACGCCTAAAAGCGTCAATTGAAGGAATTGTTTTGGACGTCTTTGGACGTTTTTTATAGGTCCACAATGGACGGACGAAAGTTGCTGCAATTTGTACGTCCACTGCACGTCGAGGGACGTCCTTTTAGACGTCCGAATGGACTATTTTGGACGTCCTTAGACGTGCAATGGACATCCGTGTCCCCATTGGGAAAAAAATACTTTTATCCGTGATTAGTTCTTATTAATGACCAGTAATAAAGTGTTACAACTAAAATAACGATAATAATAACATTAATAACAGCAAAAACAATAATAGCAATAAAAGCAATGACAATAATAACATAATAATAATAATAATTTATGGCAGAATTTTTTTTTTGCTGTTTTGTCATTAAGTAACGATATGTTTCACGAGGAAAACAATACAATACTAGAGCGTATTGTATTAGTATTGGTCAGCAAACTTAAAAATATTGCGCTAATGATAACAATAATATTGCGCTTATTTTTTTTTCTATGCGAAATGCTTTTAACTAAAAAAATGCTTGACCGATTACCCTTAAATGTCAAGTACAAAACTTAAAAGAGACAAAAAGTGTAGTAACTAATATTTTCTTGTAATGCATATTATAATCCATATATGATACTTTACATGCGTAAAAATTTTTTATTTTGGGTCAAAAAATTGTTTCTCGAATATTTTTGAACTATTTTTTGTTCTATTAGACGAAATGTTTTTTGTCTTGTCAGATTGTCAACTAGGTTTATCGAGGGATCTGGTTTTCCCACCTTCAAATCAGCTTTTGTCAAAACGAATTATTTAAGTATATATACACTGTTTAAGAGGATTTTATATCGCCTCACATTAAATTATACTTTATATATTGATGACTTGTATACGAGTCATGCTTATACTTAGCACCTATAGGTGGTAAGTTTGTTTTAAAAGTTAGTAGCTTCCAAAGAGTTGTTTTGATAAAAGATTGTTATTAAATAAATAAATTGTCTGTTTTTAATTTTTAAGAAGCAAGTGTAATTTGGAGATTGAAAAAATATAAAGGTTCCTTTAATATAGAAAATATAACGTAGGGAGGTTCACCCAACTTTTACACCATGTTGCCAAGTTCATGAACTGTTTAATTTATAGTGAAGATAAAAAACTAAAAAGATTTTATGATGAAATAATAATGGTAAGAGCTCTTCCTTCAATCAATCGCCCTACTAGAATAACCAAAAGTTCAACGACCTTGATTGATAATATTTTTACAACAGATATTTATTATAAGAATTTACAAAAAAGAATTATAAAAACCGATATATCCGATCATTTTCCCATTTTCTTAACAATCCATACTGTATTCTCTAATAACCGCGAAAGACAAAATATAATAAAAAATTGCGTCTTCAACGAGAACAATATAAAATCTTTCCAATATCAATTATCACTTCTGCATTGGAAACGTATTAACTTTAATGATGACGCAAATACAATCTATATGAAATTCTTTGATCCGTTCTTTTCAATATACAACCCAAACTTTCATAAAAATAAAAAAAATAAAATAAAAATTTGGAAAAGTTCATGGATTATCAAAGGACTTAAAAAATTGTCTAAAATTAAACAGACACTTTAAGTGGTCACAAGTACGTTTTTCAAACGTTCGGTAAACGTTAAATGGTCGCTTGAACGACGATTGTATAAATAAAACGTTCAAAAAACGTTATTTTACGTTAATTAGGATTTTTTTTTATCATTTGTTTTAATATTTTACGGGACTTTAAAAAAATTTTGAAAAACGTTTTTGCCAGGCTAAAATCGGCGCACTGCGCATGCGCAGCTTTACTTCATACTTCATAATATCCATATTTTGAATAAAAGCTGCACTTGGCAACTTCAAATAGCAACTGAAAAATCTTTTATCTGTACAATTGCTAACCAGAGTCAAAACATAATCCATTATATTTATACCATAAACTTGTCAATATTAACTTTATAAGAGATCTTGGAGTTACCATTGACAGGAATCTTAAATTTAATCAACATATCAATCTTATCGTACATAAAGCTGTCAAGGGCCTATCTTATTCTAAAATCTTTTTATTCCCGTGATAGATCGCTGATGGTTTTAACCTACTGTACTCATGAACAATCTATGCTTAAGTATTGTTCACCTTAAGTACGGTCACCTTACACTATATGCGTGAATAATAAAATTGAGAAAGTGCGGCATTTCTTTACTAAAAGTGGTATAATTAAATAAATAAAATAAATGTATAGGAACCAAACGAAATTACAAACAAATTTGATAAATATATTGTTGATATAGGAACTAAATTTTCAAATAAGATTACGGAAAAATTACGGAAAAAATATTTTACGGAAATTACGGAAAAATTACGGAAAAATATATTTCCTATTACGGAAAAAACATTTAGGGATTTCCTAGAGGCTGTAAATAACTTGCTTTTTAAAGATAATTTATATTCTGACTTATCTTTTGAAGAGTTTGAGAGAGCTTACAAATCTCTTAAAGGAAATAAAGCTACGGGTACAGACAAAATAAATGGTAAAAAAGTCATAGATTGGTTTGAAAATTTAATATGTATTCATAGTAAAGTCAAAACAAAATAGTTTTTTTTTCTTTCCCTCGAAAAAAAAGTGCTTTTTACCAAATAGTTTAAAAAAACTTTTTATTGATAAAATTAAAATAAAAAAGGAGTCAGTCACAAGATTTTTAGGCTTTTACATTGAAGAAAACATATCATGGAAGTATCTTATCGACTTTATTTCTACTAAATTGGCCAAAAGTATTAGAATTCTATATAAGGTGAGATACTATCTAAGTAAACAAAATTTGATTTAACTCAACTACTCATTTATTTATAAATATATAAGTTATGCAAATATTGTTTAGGGAAGTACCTCTAAAAGGAAGTTACAAAATCTCTACCATCGTCAGAAACACGCAGTTTGTTAAATATGTTTTGTAAATCGTTTTTCTTATTCAAATATTATGTTTAAAAACGTTAATGCACTTAACGTTTGTGAACTCTATGTCTACAATATTTTGTGTTTTATGTTTTGTTGTAAAAGTGAACAATCATTGTTTTATGCTTTGTTGTAAAAGTGAACAACCATAGCTACAAACGAATGCTTTACGAAATAATAATTTATTAATTGAACTCTTTCGTTTAAAAAAGTTTAATCATTTTTGCATTACCTATCGAGCACCGTATCTGAGGAACAAAGCTGTTGTTCCTAATTTTGATTTATCAATTTTGTTTTCCATTTTTAAAACTAAATTGAAAAACTATATTCTTTCTGGTGACAATATATATAAGTTTTTTTGAAATGAAAGTTATTTTCACTCTCAATAA